TATAATTGATCAATTATGAATAACCATATAGGATTAGTAGATTCTACTAAAATGTATAACCACTAATAACTTTCACATTCAAAATTATCATGTAGAATTAGTGAGATTCACTTGTCATATTTATTACTAGTTACTGTCAGTACTTGAAGGTACGGAATAATAAAAAAAATGGTCAATAATAAATATATTTGTATTCACACCTAAAATTAAATAACAAATATAGAGAAGAGATAAATGAATTTAAGCATTGGTTGTAGTGGATGTGAGCGGTAATAGTGGTGGTGGGAGCTGGTGATGGTTATGGTGTGTGGCAACGATCGTGGTGATGGTGGTGGTGGGTTACGAGTGATGATGGTGGTAGTGACAACCATGAGTGGCGGTGGTAGTGATAGTGGGTGTGTGTGGTGGTGAGCAATGGTGATGGTGGATGACAATGCTCGTGGTAAGGCGACATCGGTGGTGGTGGGCGATGACGAGTACTTGGGTGGTGGTGATTGGTGATAGTGGTGGGTGTTGTGGTGAGGGTGGGTGACTTTGGCAGACAATGATGGTAAGCGACGATAGGTGATGAGTGTTGACGGTGGGCAACGGTGATAGTAAGATGATAGTGATAGTGGTAATAAATATAAAAATAAAATAATGATGGTGATGATGGACGACAGTGGTAGCAATCGATGGTACGTAACAATTATGGTGATGGTGATTGGCGGCAACAGGTGTGATGGTGGGTTGGCAGCGGGTTGTGGTAGTAGTGATGGTCGTGGGGGTGGTGATGGTAGGGGTGATGGTGGAATAGTGAAGGTGATGGGGTGACAACAGTGGTGGTGGCGACGAGGATAATGATGGTGGTATGGCGACAGTAGTGATTTTTGTGGTAAAGGGGGTGGTGGGGTGGCGACGACAACAACGATGGTGGTAGTTACAATAGTGGTGATGATGGTGGAGGTAGGGGTGGTTGTAGTGGTGATGTTGGTGGTGGGACAATGGTTGTAGGGGTGACAATGACAACAGTAGTGATAGTGGCGGTGGTTGTAGTGGTGATGTTGGTGGTGGGACAATGGTTGTAGGGGTGGCAATGGCAACAGTAGTGACAGTGTTGGTGGTGGTAGGGACGGTGGTGGTGGTGGTAATGGTGTGACAACAGTAATGGTTTTTGCGGCAAAGGTGATAATGGGGTGAGGGTGATGGTAGTAGTTATGAGGGTGGGGTTTAGAGGTGGTAACGATAGGGGTTGGGGGGATAGTTGTGCTAGTGGTGCCGGCGACAATGGTGGGTGTTGTGGTAGAGGTGGTGGTGGAGTAGTGGCAATGGTGGGGGGCCGTGGCGGCGATAATGGGGGTGGAAACAGGGGTGGCGACGACAATGTTTATGGCGATGGGGGTGGCAGTGGTAGTGGTGATGTTCGTAGGGGTGGTAGGAGTGATGGTGAGACAGTGATGGTGGTGGTATAGCGGTGACAGTGGTGGTGGTAGGGTGATAATTATGGTGGGCGTGACAGTGATGATGGCGACAACAATGGTGATTGTTGTGGTAGATATGGTGACAATGGTTGTGATAGTGGTAATGGTGATGGTGGTGGAGTGGCGATGATGATAATAGTAGTGATGGTGGTAGAACGGTTCCAAATATTATTTTTTTAAAGTATTAATGAGAAATTATAAGTCTTAAGAACACATTTAAAAAGTCATTCAAACACATCTTTAGAGACATATTTTTTCTATTATATTTAGGATGTTAATATTAACCGTCAGATTAATTTTAAAGTAAAATTTAAAGAAATCTCAACCGCGAAAAGTAAAAATTATTTTACTTATGTTTTGAAATTTGAATTGTATTGAACTTTATTGTATAGATTATTATTATTATTTTTGTTACATAGTATCCAAATTTGTATCAATTATTATCTCGAGCTTGAATACTGGTTACCGTAACCTAAACGAGTTTAGAACATATTCATTGAATAATAAGTGTGACGGACTCTTAAGGGTATGAGAAGTGTTGAACCGGACTTCTGGATCACTAGAAATTAGACTCAATTATTATTTATAATTAATTAATTATACCACGGTGATTATCAACTTATAATAGTGTACACAGGTAGTTGTCTAGTCAGAGAATTTCCACAAGAATGTAGTATGGAAAGGCATAAAAAATGTACAACTGATAAGATATTTATATAGTCAATTTTACTGTCTTCATAAGTTCCAATCCTACTGAGGAAAAAGATCAAACCTCGTAACCCCACTCAAATCCTACTTGATAAAAATCTTTGCAGAAAATATTCTACCCAATCGGACGGGTCCCACCAAATGCTCGGAGCCTTGGACGCGTAAAACTCTTTCCGTGTGGATCCCACCTTCAAATCACTATAATCCAAAAATCTCACACAATGAATCGGCCGCATGATGCCACTTGGAGTGCGACGGACTATTGCAGACCATGCATGGTCGAACCATATAATTTGTAACCTACAAAAAATGAAAGAAAAAAGAGAAAATTACACTTAGGCCCCCTAAACTATACCCTTCTTTCATAATAACCCCTACTATCTGTTCACTCTATCGCATTNTATTAAGATGCTAATTTAATATAGATAAATTTTTACTTTAAAATACTACTATATATATAGATACTACCAAATTGGACCCGGATTCACGGAAGCAGCCTAAACAAAATATTTTGACTGCATTTTTCTTTCTGGTACTCGGCGGTGCTTATTCTGTTTGCCAAACAATTCAGCTAATGACCCACCCACCCCAATCAGAAAGTATTCAATATAGTGGTTATCTTACGTTATCACTGTCACGTGGTATAATTGATCAATTATGAATAACCATATAGGATTAGTAGATTCTACTAAAATGTATAACCACTAATAACTTTCACATTCAAAATTATCATGTAGAATTAGTGAGATTCACTTGTCATATTTATTACTAGTTACTGTCAGTACTTGAAGGTACGGAATAATAAAAAAAATGGTCAATAATAAATATATTTGTATTCACACCTAAAATTAAATAACAAATATAGAGAAGAGATAAATGAATTTAAGCATTGGTTGTAGTGGATGTGAGCGGTAATAGTGGTGGTGGGAGCTGGTGATGGTTATGGTGTGTGGCAACGATCGTGGTGATGGTGGTGGTGGGTTACGAGTGATGATGGTGGTAGTGACAACCATGAGTGGCGGTGGTAGTGATAGTGGGTGTGTGTGGTGGTGAGCAATGGTGATGGTGGATGACAATGCTCGTGGTAAGGCGACATCGGTGGTGGTGGGCGATGACGAGTACTTGGGTGGTGGTGATTGGTGATAGTGGTGGGTGTTGTGGTGAGGGTGGGTGACTTTGGCAGACAATGATGGTAAGCGACGATAGGTGATGAGTGTTGACGGTGGGCAACGGTGATAGTAAGATGATAGTGATAGTGGTAATAAATATAAAAATAAAATAATGATGGTGATGATGGACGACAGTGGTAGCAATCGATGGTACGTAACAATTATGGTGATGGTGATTGGCGGTAACAGGTGTGATGGTGGGTTGGCAGCGGGTTGTGGTAGTAGTGATGGTCGTGGGGGTGGTGATGGTAGGGGTGATGGTGGAATAGTGAAGGTGATGGGGTGACAACAGTGGTGGTGGCGACGAGGATAATGATGGTGGTATGGCGACAGTAGTGATTTTTGTGGTAAAGGGGGTGGTGGGGTGGCGACGACAACAACGATGGTGGTAGTTACAATAGTGGTGATGATGGTGGAGGTAGGGGTGGTTGTAGTGGTGATGTTGGTGGTGGGACAATGGTTGTAGGGGTGACAATGACAACAGTAGTGATAGTGGCGGTGGTTGTAGTGGTGATGTTGGTGGTGGGACAATGGTTGTAGGGGTGGCAATGGCAACAGTAGTGACAGTGTTGGTGGTGGTAGGGACGGTGGTGGTGGTGGTAATGGTGTGACAACAGTAATGGTTTTTGCGGCAAAGGTGATAATGGGGTGAGGGTGATGGTAGTAGTTATGAGGGTGGGGTTTAGAGGTGGTAACGATAGGGGTTGGGGGGATAGTTGTGCTAGTGGTGCCGGCGACAATGGTGGGTGTTGTGGTAGAGGTGGTGGTGGAGTAGTGGCAATGGTGGGGGGCCGTGGCGGCGATAATGGGGGTGGAAACAGGGGTGGCGACGACAATGTTTATGGCGATGGGGGTGGCAGTGGTAGTGGTGATGTTTGTGGGGGTGGTAGGAGTGATGGTGAGACAGTGATGGTGGTGGTATAGCGGTGACAGTGGTGGTGGTAGGGTGATAATTATGGTGGGCGTGACAGTGATGATGGCGACAACAATGGTGATTGTTGTGGTAGATATGGTGACAATGGTTGTGATAGTGGTAATGGTGATGGTGGTGGAGTGGCGATGATGATAATAGTAGTGATGGTGGTAGAACGGTTCCAAATATTATTTTTTTAAAGTATTAATGAGAAATTATAAGTCTTAAGAACACATTTAAAAAGTCATTCAAACACATCTTTAGAGACATATTTTTTCTATTATATTTAGGATGTTAATATTAACCGTCAGATTAATTTTAAAGTAAAATTTAAAGAAATCTCAACCGCGAAAAGTAAAAATTATTTTGCTTATGTTTTGAGATTTGAATTGTATTGAACTTTATTGTATAGATTATTATTATTATTTTTGTTACATAGTATCCAAATTTGTATCAATTATTATCTCGAGCTTGAATACTGGTTATCGTAACCTAAACGAGTTTAGAACATATTCATTGAATAATAAGTGTGACGGACTCTTAAGGGTATGAGAAGTGTTGAACCTGACTTCTGGATCACTAGAAATTAGACTCAATTATTATTTATAATTAATTAATTATACCACGGTGATTATCAACTTATAATAGTGTACACAGGTAGTTGTCTAGTCAGAGAATTTCAACAAGAATGTAGTATGGAAAGGCATAAAAAATGTACAACTGATAAGATATTTATATAGTCAATTTTACTGTCTTCATAAGTTCCAATCCTACTGAGGAAAAAGATCAAACCTCGTAACCCCACTCAAATCCTACTTGATAAAAATCTTTGCAGAAAATATTCTACCCAATCGGACGGGTCCCACCAAATGCTCGGAGCCTTGGACGCGTAAAACTCTTTCCGTGTGGATCCCACCTTCAAATCACTATAATCCAAAAATCTCACACAATGAATCGGCCGCATGATGCCACTTGGAGTGCGACGGACTATTGCAGACCATGCATGGTCGAACCATATAATTTGTAACCTACAAAAAATGAAAGAAAAAAGAGAAAATTACACTTAGGCCTCCTAAACTATACCCTTCTTTCATAATAACCCCTACTATCTGTTCACTCTATCGCACTGTCCCTGAAATTATAGGTTTCAGTTTTGCATTTCACCCAATCCTAAGAATTTGTCCACTTTTCACAACAAATCAAGGTAAAAATAGAATTTCACCCAATTGAGCTTGGCAACATTGCATCTCCTAAAATTGTGAAATTTCAAAAAAAAATTCTCATTTTCTATGAAAGATTGGGCAAAAATCAACGATTGAGGTTATGTGAAACTCAAATTAATAATTTAAAAGGAAAATGTGTAATCAAGAGCATAGTTTAAGGGTCTAAATGTAATCTTTCCCAAAATAAAACTATATATAATTAGTTGCATACAGATCAGAGGCCTCACTTTCCTTGCAAATCAATCAACCTCGTAGTCGTAGCTCTCTCTGTATTACCAGGCGAATGGCGATGGAGAAGAACAAGAGCTTTGATGGCAAACCTTCGAACCACAAGGTAAAACTATTGTGCAGATTTGGGGGGAAGATTCAAACCAGGTCTCAAGACCACCAACTCACGTACATCGGCGGCGACACAAAAATCCTGACCGTTGATCGAAGAATCAAGTTCTGCGACATTTTCACGAAGATTTTCACCTTATGCAATTTAAGCAGTGAATTCTGCTTAAAGTATCAGTTGCCCGGTGAAGATCTCGACGCATTAGTGTCTGTGATCGACGACGACGATCTTGAGCACATGATGGTTGAGTACGACCGGTTACTTGGGATTCCGACGGACAAACCAGCTCGTCTCCGGCTGTTCTTGTTTCCGACGAACCCGCCGGTCAAGGCAGGTTCGGATACACCGTTCAATCCGGATTTTCTTTTTGGGTTTGACAAGGAATTGCAAGTGAATTATACGCCGACATACGAGATTCCTCAGATTCCTGGTGTGAGCATGCCTGAGATTTCCGGGTCGGATCCACATGAAGGAGCCCTAGTGAAGACGGGAATTCCGGGGCAAGGATCACGTGAAAGTCACGTGATATATGGAGAGTTTGCGGCACAGTTTGGGTTTCACAAGGGCTCTCAAGTATATACCACAGCGACGACATGCGAGAGTCCTCAGATTCAGGGTATGGGAATCCCCGACGTTTACGGGTCGAATCCACGTGGAAGTCAGGTGACATGCGAAGGTTTAGCTGGACAGCTAGTTTACCCGCTGGCATTAACGACCACCGGGTTTGGNAATGATGGTGGTATGGCGACAGTAGTGATTTTTGTGGTAAAGGGGGTGGTGGGGTGGCGACGACAACAACGATGGTGGTAGTTACAATAGTGGTGATGATGGTGGAGGTAGGGGTGGTTGTAGTGGTGATGTTGGTGGTGGGACAATGGTTGTAGGGGTGACAATGACAACAGTAGTGATAGTGGCGGTGGTTGTAGTGGTGATGTTGGTGGTGGGACAATGGTTGTAGGGGTGGCAATGGCAACAGTAGTGACAGTGTTGGTGGTGGTAGGGACGGTGGTGGTGGTGGTAATGGTGTGACAACAGTAATGGTTTTTGCGGCAAAGGTGATAATGGGGTGAGGGTGATGGTAGTAGTTATGAGGGTGGGGTTTAGAGGTGGTAACGATAGGGGTTGGGGGGATAGTTGTGCTAGTGGTGGCGGCGACAATGGTGGGTGTTGTGGTAGAGGTGGTGGTGGAGTAGTGGCAATGGTGAGGGGCCGTGGCGGCGATAATGGAGGTGGCGACGACAATGTTTATGGCGATGGCGGTGGCAGTGGTAGTGGTGATGTTCGTAGGGGTGGTAGGAGTGATGGTGAGACAGTGATGGTGGTGGTATAGCGGTGACAGTGGTGGTGGTAGGGTGATAATTATGGTGGGCGTGACAGTGATGATGGCGACAACAATGGTGATTGTTGTGGTAGATATGGTGACAATGGTTGTGATAGTGGTAATGGTGATGGTGGTGGAGTGGCGATGATGATAATAGTAGTGATGGTGGTAGAACGGTTCCAAATATTATTTTTTTAAAATATTAATGAGAAATTATTAGTCTTAAGAACACATTTAAAAAGTCATTCAAACACATCTTTAGAGACATATTTTTCCTATTATATTTAGGATGTTAATATTAACCGTCAGATTAATTTTAAAGTAAAATTTAAAAAAATCCCAATCGCGAAAAGTAAAAATTATTTTACTTATGTTTTGAAATTTGAATTGTATTGAACTTTATTGTATAGATTATTATTATTATTATTGTTACATAGTATCCAAATTTGTATCAATTATTATCTCGAGCTTGAATACTGGTTACCGTAACCTAAACGAGTTTAGAACATATTCATTGAATAATAAGTGTGACGGACTCTTAAGGGTATGAGAAGTGTTGAACCGGACTTCTGGATCACTAGAAATTAGACTCAATTATTATTTATAATTAATTAATTATACCACGGTGATTATCAACTTATAATAGTGTACACAGGTAGTTGTCTAGTCAGAGAATTTCAACAAGAATGTAGTATGGAAAGGCATAAAAAATGTACAACTGATAAGATATTTATATAGTCAATTTTACTGTCTTCATAAGTTCCAATCCTACTGAGGAAAAAGATCAAACCTCGTAACCCCACTCAAATCCTACTTGATAAAAATCTTTGCAGAAAATATTCTACCCAATCGGACGGGTCCCACCAAATGCTCGGAGCCTTGGACGCGTAAAACTCTTTCCGTGTGGATCCCACCTTCAAATCACTATAATCCAAAAATCTCACACAATGAATCGGCCGCATGATGCCACTTGGAGTGCGACGGACTATTGCAGACCATGCATGGTCGAACCATATAATTTGTAACCTACAAAAAATGAAAGAAAAAAGAGAAAATTACACTTAGGCCTCCTAAACTATACCCTTCTTTCATAATAACCCCTACTATCTGTTCACTCTATCGCACTGTCCCTGAAATTATAGGTTTCAGTTTTGCATTTCACCCAATCCTAAGAATTTGTCCACTTTTCACAACAAATCAAGGTAAAAATAGAATTTCACCCAATTGAGCTTGGCAACATTGCATCTCCTAAAATTGTGAAATTTCAAAAAAAAATTCTCATTTTCTATGAAAGATTGGGCAAAAATCAACGATTGAGGTTATGTGAAACTCAAATTAATAATTTAAAAGGAAAATGTGTAATCAAGAGCATAGTTTAAGGGTCTAAATGTAATCTTTCCCAAAATAAAACTATATATAATTAGTTGCATACAGATCAGAGGCCTCACTTTCCTTGCAAATCAATCAACCTCGTAGTCGTAGCTCTCTCTGTATTACCAGGCGAATGGCGATGGAGAAGAACAAGAGCTTTGATGGCAAACCTTCGAACCACAAGGTAAAACTATTGTGCAGATTTGGGGGGAAGATTCAAACCAGGTCTCAAGACCACCAACTCACGTACATCGGCGGCGACACAAAAATCCTGACCGTTGATCGAAGAATCAAGTTCTGCGACATTTTCACGAAGATTTTCACCTTATGCAATTTAAGCAGTGAATTCTGCTTAAAGTATCAGTTGCCCGGTGAAGATCTCGACGCATTAGTGTCTGTGATCGACGACGACGATCTTGAGCACATGATGGTTGAGTACGACCGGTTACTTGGGATTCCGACGGACAAACCAGCTCGTCTCCGGCTGTTCTTGTTTCCGACGAACCCGCCGGTCAAGGCAGGTTCGGATACACCGTTCAATCCGGATTTTCTTTTTGGGTTTGACAAGGAATTGCAAGTGAATTATACGCCGACATACGAGATTCCTCAGATTCCTGGTGTGAGCATGCCTGAGATTTCCGGGTCGGATCCACATGAAGGAGCCCTAGTGAAGACGGGAATTCCGGGGCAAGGATCACGTGAAAGTCACGTGATATATGGAGAGTTTGCGGCACAGTTTGGGTTTCACAAGGGCTCTCAAGTATATACCACAGCGACGACATGCGAGAGTCCTCAGATTCAGGGTATGGGAATCCCCGACGTTTACGGGTCGAATCCACGTGGAAGTCAGGTGACATGCGAAGGTTTAGCTGGACAGCTAGTTTACCCGCTGGCATTAACGACCACCGGGTTTGGGACGGTGCCTTACGCCTCGGCGGGTGTGGTTACAGGTTATTTGAACCGTGAACAGCCGGTTTACAATTTCGTTCCATCGATGCCTACGGTTCCAGAACAGATCACTGGGGGTGGTGGGTATGCGCAAGTGAGGCCTATTGCAAACGTGGTGACTCAACAGGCAAAGTTTTCACAGAGCAATGTTTGAGATTGGGTCTACGTTTTGGTCGTTGAAGTCTAGTACATAGGTAAATATTACTTGTGAATTGTATTTCTATTCTTGTGACAAATTTGTTTTAATTTTAGTGAGATTCAACTGTTTATGGTTTTTCAATCTTTAGCCATACTGGCTGCTGACACCCTTCCTCATAGATGCAGAGTTAGCAACTATGAATATCATTTCACTGAATCGACACGAAACCTAAAAGAATTAGTGTATAAATTTAGTCTTAATTGATTAATTTCATTGACTATTGGGCTTGCTTAGATATGAAAAATATAGTACTTATGATATAAACGGATCAGATGCAACACGAATGACGTAAACATTGGGATAATTTGTGGACCCAAAAGTGGGTTGAACAAGTGTGCTTGTTTGGATTCCAGGATTCGCTTTAGGGCCAAAGCTAGGCTTGGCCTCAATTGATGAAAGGGGTGATTGTGTGTGTGTGTTTGGGTGGGGATTTGGGGGGGTTTGTTTAGTGTTTATAATCCTACATATCACTAATGAAAGAATGACATTGATATCTTTTGCTAAGCATAATTTGTAAGGATTGCCTAGTTGAAGTCTAACTAAAATGACTAATTTTCAACACTACCAAAAGGATTGGTACGTGACGTCCTAGGTGATGATAGGGAACATCAAACCATAAAAGTAGGACAAAGAAACATTGCAAGGAGGCCAGTGGTTGGGTTGTTAGTCAAACATCATGGAGTGATAATCTTGGTCTTGGGCAAAAGAATATTATAATTTCGGAAAACATTTGAATTGACGCACTTGACTTTTCTATATTCATTTGCTTATGCACTAAGAAAGGCAAAATATACACCAAGCATACCAATTCCAGGGGACAAACCATTTCCCCCAACTTGTCAACCACCCCAGTAGCACTTTGGCAAATTAGATCAACAGAACATCATTCTCTTCATACCCAAATTATTTTTTTCCCAAATTTTCTTTAATACTAAATCACGCACTATAAATTTAAATATGATTCATTGTATGATAGGATCCCCATTAATAATTTATCATTGAGAAAAATAAAAAAGAAGTATATTCCAGGGTACATAATACAAAGAGGGAAAAACATTACATTGCAGGATTGTGACCAGAAATAAAATGGCTCCGCCAATGAGCCATTGGTTCATATACAGTGGACGGGTTGAAAATGTTATTGAATCATATATTCTTTGTGGTCTCCATTGAGAGAAATGGTTCTTCATTCGGTCTACCAAATCAATCCATTGTTGACAAGACCTCATAGGATTGTTTCCTTGGTCCCGGGAGTTCTTGGAGTTGGTGCAACATTAGGGTTTTCCCTTTAGAAACAGCGTAAAAGTTGCATAATCCTTAAACAATATGTGATTTTAATACAGGACCAAGTGCAAAATTTAAATTTGAGTTTGACCAAGGAATCAAAATATTGTGATCTAACTAATCTTGAATAGCATACCTAATACCAACGAGAAAACGGAGGGTAAAAAGTATGCCTGCAGTAGATGAAGAAGAGGATGATTAGTTCATCTTTCGTTTAGATGTCATTTGAAGGTTCAGAAAATGAAAACAAAGGGAACGTGCAAAGGAACAAGAAGGATGAAAGAGGGAAGCACGAAGTAGAGTAAGACCAATGGTGGGGTCTTCAAAGGTTTATATATTTTCTAGAAAAGAACACTTGCGCCCGTTTAGATTTTACGTAAGTTCATTTAATCGGATTATCAATTACACAAATAAATGAGGGAGATGGACCAGATTTTACATTTGGTGAAGAGACGATAGATGACATGTGTACACTTAACAAAGTCAACAAAATTATTTGTCATGTGACATTCATTTAATTAAAAGTGAATATGTAGTCGAATACAAGAGCAATTACAACCTCTGTAAGGGACGGACTGAAACAGTTGTCTTGGAATTTGAAAAGGAAGCAATTATTAGTGCTCTAAGAATTTGAAAAGTAATAGTTAAAACTTAGACCACACAGAGCGGGAGCANTTGTCATGTGACATTCATTTAATTAAAAGTGAATATGTAGTCGAATACAAGAGCAATTACAACCTCTGTAAGGGACGGACTGAAACAGTTGTCTTGGAATTTGAAAAGGAAGCAATTATTAGCATCAAATATGCTCTAAGAATTTGAAAAGTAATAGTTAAAACTTAGATCACACAGAGCGGGAGGANAATCATATATTCTTTGTGGTCTCCATTGAGAGAAATGGTTCTTCATTCGGTCTACCTAATCAATCCATTGTTGACAAGACCTCATAGGATTGTTACCTTGGTCCCGGGAGTTCTTGGAGTTGGTGCAACATTAGGGTTTTCNAATCATATATTCTTTGTGGTCTCCATTGAGAGAAATGGTTCTTCATTCGGTCTACCAAATCAATCCATTGTTGACAAGACCTCATAGGATTGTTTCCTTGGTCCCGGGAGTTCTTGGAGTTGGTGCAACATTAGGGTTTTCCCTTTAGAAACAGTGTAAAAGTTGCATAATCCTTAAACAATATGTGATTTTAATACAGGACCAAGTGCAAAATTTAAATTTGAGTTTGACCAAGGAATCAAAATATTGTGATCTAACTAATCTTGAATAGCATACCTAATACCAACGAGAAAACGGAGGGTAAAAAGTATGCCTGCAGTAGATGAAGAAGAGGATGATTAGTTCATCTTTCGTTTAGATGTCATTTGAAGGTTCAGAAAATGAAAACAAAGGGAACGTGCAAAGGAACAAGAAGGATGAAAGAGGGAAGCACGAAGTAGAGTAAGACCAATGGTGGGGTCTTCAAAGGTTTATATATTTTCTAGAAAAGAACACTTGCGCCCGTTTCGATTTTACGTAAGTTCATTTAATCGGATTATCAATTACACAAATAAATGAGGGAGATGGACCAGATTTTACATTTGGTGAAGAGACGATAGATAACATGTGTACACTTAACAAAGTCAACAAAATTATTTGTCATGTGACATTCATTTAATTAAAAGTGAATATGTAGTCGAATACAAGAGCAATTACAACCTCTGTAAGGGACGGACTGAAACAGTTGTCTTGGAATTTGAAAAGGAAGCAATTATTAGCATCAAATATGCTCTAAGAATTTGAAAAGTAATAGTTAAAACTTAGACCACACAGAGCGGGAGCAATCCCAGACTGAAAGCCGATTACAAAAGTGTAAAGGCTGAACATATATAAAAGGCACAACTGTCAGCCCCTTTGGAAGCCATTCAGCCACTGGGCCATAACTATAGGGCCCAATAACTAAGTTTTGAACGGGTTCAGATTTTGGGCCAAGTCCAGTTGGTCATTCAGTTAAGATGTTTTGAAGTTTGTTTCTTAAAAAGCTTAATTGGCGAATTATATTTTTGAAATTTGTAGATTCAACACGAATCCGCTCCTCCTAATTTGCGAATTAGAGCTCGGAATGCAAATTTGTGATCTAGGTTAGCATTAATCACAAGGAGANGCTTAATTGGCGAATTATATTTTTGAAATTTGTAGATTCAACACGAATCCGCTCCTAATTTGCGAATTAGAGCTCGGAATGCAAATTTGTGATCTAGGTTAGCATTAATCACAAGGAGAGGAGAGGATCAAACCTATTAAAGACCCACAGTTTGACTATTTTATGAGTAGTTTTAGCCTAAATTTTGAGTTATAATTAGTTTTAGAGTCTATTGTAACTAATAAAAGTGTTCTTCTATTTTGCTAATTCTATTTTGTTAATTCTTTTTCTGTTACTGTACTTATTTTTATTCTTGTCATTATCCAAATAAATTCTTAGATAATACAATTGAACCTAACATCAAACAGTCGTATGAAATCTCTTTGTAAAAAAGATTATCTCCGTCGATAATTTTAGGTACATAACTAGTCCACATAAAAAATTTAAATCCATGAAAATCTTATGCCTAAAAAAAAAGTCCCCAAAAATTTAAGCTCAATCCAAAAATTATAATTTCAATAATTTGGACCTACAATTCAATCTGTAACATTAGAAACTCAAAAATCAAAAATTTTAAAAACAAATAAAAAATATTCAAAAATCAACTAATATTTACTCACATCCATTCTCTCTTCCTCTCTCTTTCTTAAAAACAAAAACAAAGTATCATATCCTCTTCTCTCACTTAAAAAAAATTAAAAATATTTTTTGATTTTTTAAACATAATATTAAAAATAAAAAAATCCCATTTAATATTACCATTTTAGGCCTCAAATTATCTTAAACCGCCGCTGCCAACAACTTAAACTAATTTTCAACACTTCCAAAAGGATTGGTTGATGACGTCTTCAGTGATGATAAGGGAACATGAAACTATAACATTAGCACAACGAAACATTGCAAGAGGCCCGCGGTTGAGTTGTTAGTCAAACATAATGGAGTGTTTATCTTGGTGTTGGGCCAAAAAAATATTATCATTTCGGATAACATTTGAATTGACGTACTTGGCTTTTTTCTCCAAGCATTTGCTTATGCACTAAGAAAGTCAAAATATACACCAAGCATAGCAATTCCCCAGGGGAAAGAATCCATTTTCCCCAACTTGTCAACCACTCCAGTAGCACCTCAGCAAATTAGGTCAACAGAACCTCATTCTCTTCATACCCAAATTATTATTATTTTTTTTCACATTTCTTCAATAGTAAATCACTATAAATTCAAATATGATTCATTGTACGATAGGATTTTCATTAATACACAATGGGTGATTCATCGTAGAGAAAAATTAAAAAAAAAATATATTAGAGGGGATTCAAATTCACAATCGTTGATAATTTGCAGTCTCAACTTATTCCCAAAACCTTGATTAAAGAGGGCCCCAAAAGAAGTCTAAGAAGAGGAATTTCAAATTTATCACAATAGCAAATAATGATCAGATAGATGAAGAATAAATCCCTTCCATATATAAGGATTAAGTTGGAAAGCTTAACATCAATTTTGACAATAATATTAACTAATAAGCATAATGCATTAGGTTACTAAATAAAACACGAGCACCAATCCTCCAATATCTAACCAATCAAAGACAAGAGTAGCAACGGTACCAAATAAACCCTCACTAGTCTTTTTCTTCGTTTTTGTTTTTTGTTGGATGGCTCAAGCAGACACTAGGGATATCCTTATCTTAAAAGTCTTCATCCCTAGGAGAGTGGGATTTGATCCTTATATTATGGTACAACTACCAAGCAGCATGACTAAACTACTTGAAAATTTCAACCACTCTATAGTGCTTTATCTTATTTCCTTATTTTTCTTCTAGACTAGTCTTAAGGGTCCTTTTGACTAGGAAGAAAATAATGATAGAAAGTGGAAATAATAGAAAGTGAAGTGAAAACAAAAAAAAATATATT